GTTCAGTAAGATTTTACTTGCATGCGATATTAATAATATTGCTCAGTGATTTCCACATTCTGTAGGATCACCTTTCTTTGGAATATGGATCTATTCTGGTCAGTTAGCCAGGTAGTTAGTTGTCTTGTAAATCTCTCGGCATAGCCAAATGAGTGCCTCCAGTGCGGCATCTGTTTGTTGAAACATGTCAATGGGAATTCCATCAATCCTGGAGCCTTGTTCTTTGCCAGTTCCTTCAGTGCAGCTTTGACTTCTTCCTTCTGACTCATTTGTTGTTGTTGTTGTTATGTGCCGTCGGTAAAGTGACCCTATATGGCAGAGTAGAACTGCCCCGTAGGGTTTCCTAGGCTATAATCTTTACAGAAGCAGACCACTACATCTTTCTCCTGTGGAGTGGCTGGTGGGTTCAAATGCCAACTTTGTAGTTAGTAGCCAAGCACCTTAACCATTACACCACCAGATCGCCTCTGAACAGACTACTACTAAATAAATCTGTTCTTATGTAAAGGCGGAGGAAGAAGAAACCTTGTTAAGATGCAAATGTCTAGGTCAAAATACAAGAATAAAATATTTGTATTTTTGTGCATTACATTATTATCTTTGTCTTAACGTCTCACAGACAGCATTAACATAGTGGTTAATGAGTATGAACTGGAGTTAGGAAGCTTAGGTTCAAATACCAGCTCTATTCCTTAGAAGCTATACAACGTTGGTGTGTGAGTGTTAGCTATTTATTTTTTACTTGGGATTATCTTCTGTGAATCATAAACGTTGATCACCATACAAAGAAGAGGAGCCCTGGTGACACAGTGGTTAAGCTTTCAGCTACTAATCGAGAAAGACTTGGTAGATCTGTACCCATAAAGGAGAAAAAAAAAAAGAAAAATTGCCTTTGAGTTAATCTGACTCATAGGGTAGAACTGCCTGATAGGGTTTCAAAGGTTGTAATCTTTATGGTAGCAGAATGCCACATATTTCTTCTGTGGAGTGGCTGGTGGATTGAAATCACCCACCTTTCAGTAGCATCTGAGTGCTTAACCACTGAGATACTGTTGTTGTTGTTGTTGTTGTTGTTTGCCGTCGAGTCGGCCCCGACTCATAGCGACCCCTGCTTGGGTTTCCGAGGCAGTATTACTACGGAAGTAGGATTGCCCAACCTTCTTCCGAGGAGTGGCTGGTGGGTTTGAACCGCCAGCCTTCTGGTTAGCAGTCAAGTGCCTTAGGCACTATGCTACCAG